ACATACTAGACTGGTGTCTTCACACTTCGCGTCAACAAGCATATTCTAAATACATGTGACGACGTGGTCAGATGGTAGAGCGTACAACCGCAAACCCAAAAGTCCCGAGTTCAGATCCCGGACCGTAGGACGTCCCCTGAGTCCACCCAGCTCTAAATGTTTCCTGACTTACGTAATGGAAAGTACATGCGGCTAAGGTTAGGGCGGGGAAACAGGTGAACTCTACTTCATCTGCCCTATGAACAGACATGAAAGCGTTACTTCTTTTTACTTTTTATTCTAAATAATTATTACATTTGTTCGTCCAATGCTCACTTACACCTTCATCGTCTTGTACACAAGATATGTAATCGATTAGTTTTACTTTTGACTTTAACTTATGGATTAAACATTCACTCTATATGTCAGTCGTTTTTTTTTACCTTTCGAACAATTAGGGTAATCCTGGTTTACTGTTTAAATAATGTCTTTTAGGTAAGGCTTAGTATTCCTTTAATCTCTATCATTGTCTAATATTATCTTCTTTCAATCATCATATGTATGATTGATTTTTAGTTACATCCGGATCAAATAATGTGGTCTGTATATGTTTGAAGTGCTGGTTTTATACATTCAGTTTATATGAAACGTTTTTATGGAAATATCAACTTTAATAATCTACACATTTTGGGATTAGTTTTATCATTCAACTTAGTCGCATTATAAGAACATCATTTTTCTACTTAGCCACATCATGAGAACATCAGCCTACAGCTTAGGAACATTATAGGAAATATTTTTCAACCTACCGACATCATCATGAACTTAACAACTTTGTCAAATAATATTTATCAACATTCACATTTTGATTGAAACAAGCCTTGTGATCAGCGATTACTGTCTAGCTGTAATATATCTCATAGTATTTATTCACTGTATCCCCTCTCATAGTATTTTTTCACTGTAACCCCTCTCATAGTATTTTTCAAAATTTTTTCCTAGTATTACCACAGTATTCCCATTTCCCGTCTTAAAAACCAGAGTTAGAGGTAGCCAGAGGCGTAGCGACCCTTCCCGGCGCCCGGGGACAAACTTTCGATTTGCACCCCCCCCCCCCTCGAACTTTTCATTTGCACCCCCCCTAAAACTTTCAATTTGCCCCCCCCCTAAGGTCAGCGCCCGGGGACATATGTCCCCCCCCCCGCCCCCCCCCCCCTCGCTACGCCTCCGGAGTTAGCTCTTCCTCGCACCTTACGCCACATAGCCAAGATAGAAACTTTACACACAGGGAACTAGAAAACGTTGACGGAAACGTTATTTTGGGTTAACAACCTGCTAATGTTAACAACATTATATAGGCGTACACGCTTCGGCATCAGAATGGCAACTGACAGAACACCCCGTCAAAACGAACACGTCAAATCCAATGATAATGGACCCCGTCGGACAAAGCTCATTTTAAAAGGGCTCCCGTCAATACGGCTTCCGTTAAAAAAAGTTCCAATAAATATGGCCTCAGACAAAAATGCTCCCGTCATTATTAAAGATTACTGTCAAAAAGGGGTAAACGTTAAACGAATTATTTTTTTCCCCTCCGCTGACGAATCTGATATTTGACAGGAATAAACTAGTTCCTATTATGATTGTATGTAAGGAATAAATGCCATGGATATGTTTGTTTATTTGTTTACATAAGCGTATAATGGTTGTATGCAAACAATATATGCCGCGGATATGCCTGTTTACATAAGCCTAACAACATGACGCTAATAAACGTAATCATACATCTAAATAGTGTCTATGTCATGTTTACTAGCTGAACGAAATGTGTATTTATATTGTGGTTTAACAAAAAACATCTGAACTAGCTCACTTAAGTTTTCTTGTACAGTCGATTATAACAGTAATATTGGGTGGTACTGTCACCCCTGTTGGGTCAGGAGACATCGGCCCTACGTTTCTGTTAGACGTTTGTGTCTTTGGCTACCTTTGGCTACCTTTGGTTACCTTTGGCTACCTTTGGCTACCCTACTGTGGACAGTGTGACCGCCTCAGCAAGCTAGGACATTATTTTATAGCAGGTTATGTTAGTATCCTACGGGACGGCGTGGCCTAAGCGGTAGAGCGCCAGGTTGCTAATTCGAATTTCTTGAGTTCGAATCCGGGTCAAAGTCCCTGGGTCCCTCCAGTTCTGATGGGTACCTAACTCACGTTAGGGAAAGTAAAGGCGACTGGGCTTTGTGTTGACCACACTATCCCTTCGTATACCGAGGTCACAGAAACAGGTGAACTCTACTTCACTTGCCCTATAGACCGTCATATTTGAAAGAGAACTTTACTTATGTTAGTATCTTAATGATAACTACAGGTATATTAGACATATCCACCCAGGGTATACACCAGTACAAAACAGTTGAATATTAAAACATACTCTTGTATGTCCATTATTTCCGCAGCTTTAAAAACTGACTGAACATAAAAACAAGGTTAATGCTAAGGTTTGATACTCGCACTCCCGATTGTTTAAACAATAATGTGTCTTTCATTTACCTATCTACCACGGCCCCTAACTACTACCACAAGTGTCTTTTCACAAGCGTCCCTTTATATTTTGGATATCATGATCTCTAGAAAGATGTGTTCTTAATCATGAGCTTTGTCAGTGTGTTTCCATTTTGTCTAGCCTTTGACCACACCATTATTCCTGTTATAATTTCTTCTCTATTTCGTCTAGCCTTTCACAACACCATTATTGTTGTACTACTCTTGTCTATTTTGTCTAGCCGACGACGACATTACTCTTGTTCTAGTTTTTTAAACACATTTCCACCAACTATCAAGCCGAATTGCAACTACTTTAATCCACTGACTCAACGTTACGTTACAATGTTTTCTATTCACTATTTATTTACTAGCCCTCATCGCGTACAATACATAACACGATGTATTGTACGCACAGATGTGAGAGATTCGATATACACACAAGATAGAGATACTGCCAAGTGTCAAGTGCGTTATTTGTTTCTGGTACAGGATAACGAGTCGAAGTACAAATCCAACTTGAAACTGAGAAAACTGGATGTCATCAAGACAAGTGATTAAGATTAACTAAACACTTACGATAAATTCTTATATTTGCATGAGTTTGGTTGTTTATTGATTGTGTTTTAATTTTGCATGCTGTCTTACCACAAAAAGAGGAAAGTTAGTGCGATATTGATTATATCACCAAGTCACAGGATCAAATAATATTTTTTAAACAGTAAAGACTAAAAAGACATAACTGTCGCGGCATTGACTGCGGAGTTTACTTGACTGATACTGAACAGTCGTAGCTTAGTTATCTCCCATTCAATGTTCGTATTCACCTTCTTCTTTTTCACTACTCTAATTAAGGGGAGAGTATAAAGGTGGTTGTCATAGGCTGGTTCGCTTTTTCTCTCTTGTCCTTTTTTTTTTAGTCTTCTGTCTTATTATCTCCCTGTTTCTTTCTCTTCTTCATTCTCACACATGCTCTCTCCAGTGGCGTAGCTAGGGGAGGGCGGGTGGGGCGGTCACCCCGGGCGCCGACCCTATGTGGGCGGGGCGCCAAAGGGGTAGAAAAAATTAATTTAAAAGCTCGTTTTAAGCGGAATTATTAAATTATACACAGTTAAAGTTACGTTCATAAATGACTACAAGGCTTTACACACTTAACTATTTTATAGATCAAATTTTTGGGAATCCTCGACAAGAAAATCTAAGAGACGCATTCCGTACAAGAACTCAGAGACCGAAGCTGATACTTTCGTACTGGTCACATTTACGATCACAGATTTACTGACCTCTCCGTATGTATGCTGGAGAAAAAAAAATATTTCTAAATAAAATCGAGCTTAATTATTTTCTAACATAGCAGCGGTTAAAATTCCAATGCAATAGATCGCAAAAAAGGAATTTATGCATGACAAGTCTTAGTTCACATCACCACAAGGAGTGAATCATTTCGCAAGTGTGTATCGCCAGGTGTACTAAAGTAATATGATATTTTTACATACTATTTACTTACAGCTGAATGTTTTCGTTTCTATAAATAGCACGTGAACAATAAGACGTGCTTGCTTTGAACTGGTAACATGTTTTATTTCATTGTACCGCGCTTGGAGCAAACTAAAACTTCAATATATATATATATATATATATATATATATATATATATATATATATATATATATATATATATATATATATATATATATATATATATATATATGGATATATAAATATATGTATATATATATGGATATATATATATGGATATATAAATATATAGCCTATAGGCCCCTATATATATATATATATAAATATATATATATATATATATATATATATATATATATATATATATATATATATATATATATATATATATATATATATACAGACAAAACATAAAATGACCTCGCAAGTGACAGCACGCCTTTCAGGATCACTAACATGCTAACTTCAACGTTCTAACGTTAGCCCTGAACAGTTACATTATTTCAGAATTTGTAAAAGAGGACTTAGGCGCCAGAAAATTAAGGTTATCTCCGTACCTGCCAAAATTGGATGGGATTAGCCTAGCGGTTAAAGTCCATATTAGTGTTGTTGTTCATAATGTTGTTTTATGTTAAGCATAGAAAGATGCGAGTTTTTAAGAGAAATTTCCAGTTTTCTATCAAGCACGATATATCTTTAACAGCATAAAGCGCGTAATAGCTAATCAACAAAATTTAGAAATTGTAATAGAAATAATAACATTCTCGCTGTTGTTTAAAAATAAATGTATTATACTACGGTGTGTGTTCTAAATGTTAGAACTAAAGTCAAATAACGCAACATCACTGTTGTGCAGGTAAAGTAGCGTATATATCTTATTCTTTCAAGGCACAGACACTAACTTAATTGTTGTATTATATTGTAAGTGTACACTAGACCCCTTGAGAGGGTTTTGTTCCACTTATTTGCGATAGAAGAAAAGTAAATTATACAACACTTACAGGTTTGCATTAAATTATTGTGTTGCGTACACAGCTATACTTGTGCATCAAATATGGTTTATTTTAGAACAATCCGTGTGAGTACTCAGATGTCCGCTCAGCGTTTAATCCCCCGATGATTTACGAAATTCACGTGCGGTTTAGACTCTCGATGGGGAATTATCCAGGCCATCAACAACAATGTAAACAGGGAGCGAACTCGGTAGTGGTTCAACAGGGGGAACAACCCCATACATATTCTAACAGGGGACATAACTCGGATCGTGTTTTAACAGGGGAGATAACAAGCGTGTTCTTTCATGCAGTGCTTCGTTATTTCATATTACGCAGACGGACCCCTTGACGGCCTGACATTCTATAGTTGTGTTGGCATTCGCGCCATTAAAAGTCTGTCAGAAACAGTTCTAATATTGTCTAGACAACATAATGAACAATTCGCTGTCATTTTTCTTTTAGTAAATTTGACGCAATCAGATGACCTGTTGTAGTTGGAAATACCCCATCATCCTCATACAATTGCAAATTTGTAAAAGGTTGTAATATAATTCTTAGTTAGAAGATTTACATGCGTATTAAATACGCAGGGGGGGGGGAATACCTAACGTAAAGATGACATTAATGTAAATCTTGATTAAGAAATGAAATCATTACCTCTACGTTGAGTGAAAAAAACATTTTTTTCAAAAGACATAGTTTTTTAATAAAGTGTGATTTACAAAGACTTACCCTATATTTTAATAGGTACAAATATTATCCTTTGTAATTTTTAAAGAACGAAAAATATTTTAACAGCATTAAACCTGACGATCCCAAGCTTTAGCCGATATAGAAAGGTACACATTTATTATGCAACATGATCCTGACTTATTTTAACGTCCGTTCATGTAATATACGCATACGGGATAGAGGAATACGGAAAATAGGCATACATAGTCTTCAATGCAAAATATAATGATTCGTATGGAACCTTCTGTACTAACCCCCCCCCCCGTCACCTTTCCTTCCCCGTCTAAACGTCAATTTCTTAACGTCAGCGAAATACAGTCACTTTTTTACTTTCTCGTATAAACTTAGTATAGAGAAAGTATTGTAATCGTGCAAAAAAAAAAAATCGAGATTTTTACAAATCTCGACGTTTTACACCTCACTGATACGGAAAAACATTATTTTGCAATCTTGTCCGTATGTCTGTGTGTGTGTGTGTGTCTGTGTGTGTGTCTGTCCGTGTGTAAACACGATAACTTGAGTACCGTTACAGCTAGGTTGATGAAATTTCATATATAAGTATTTTATCAAAATCGTAGATCCGTATCAACTTTTGAGCGATTTCCGATAACCGGAAGTGGTACTTTTCCTACTTTGAATTTTTTAAAAGCCTATAACTTGAGTACTATTTCAGATAGATAAATGAAATTTCACATGTAAGTAACAGATCTAATTCTCTACCTTCTGTAAAATTTTGAGTAATTTCCGTTGACTGGAAGTAGTAATTTACGCTACTTCCGATTTCTCAAAAAACTAATGTAAATTTTAAAAGTACTAATAATATTGCGCACTATTATGCGCTTTTTTTATTTGCGTTCACTTGGTGTGCAATTAATTTGTCTACGAGATTTTATTCTATTTTTAAAACTTTAAGTATTTAAAATGGATTAAAAATCATGTCTATAGCCCGAGTTTCCATCCCCTGTTATTTTATATAAGAATATTCGAGAAAGTTTAGGGGAGATCACTCCCGGTTTATTACCACTTAGGGCCTACGCTAAAACCACACCGCAATGTGTCGCCAATAAACGATCAAAAAATGAAGCGTCAAATGGTGCGGGTAGGCAAATCCCGTCACGCGGGTTATTACCTGCTGAATGAGTCGACGGCTCTACGGCCCCATAACGGCCCCCATAGGGCCGCGGCTCAATGACTGAGGGGCAGGCCAGGTGTGCGCCGTTGAATCGTTGAGCTCAGCCACGGACAGATTCACTGATCAACGTGTGTTTTGAGATTGGCGACTAAGTTATGGACAGTGCTAGTGAAATGTGTGTGTGTGGGTGTTTGTGTGTGTGTGTGTGTGTGTGTGTGTGGGTGTGTTCGCGTGTGTGTGTTTGCGTGGGGTAGGGTTGGTTATACGCCGTCTGATACTTAAGTATTATGGGATAGTACTATGTCTAGTGGAACTCAATTAGAACTTAAAATGTCTGGACAGCTAATATTTAGGGCTCGTTTATATATATATATATATATATATATATATATATATATATATATATATATATATATATAAAGTACATATAGGCTAAACACACAATCATCAAGATCTGGCTGTCGATGTTGTGACCAGATAACATACAGCCGTCTATGTTTCATTGGCTTCTGTGGTACATTAAACTGCTAAAGAAAATGTTTCAGTTCACACCACTGGAACGAGTCCGTTAGACATTGCCTACCAAACTTATTTGGATACCTGACTCACGTTAGGGAGGGTAAAGTTGGCTGGACTAAAAACACGATAACTTCAGTACCCAAAGGAAACAGGTCAACTCCACTTCACCTGCATAAGGGGACAGTCAATATAAATTAGATGCCATTGGCATAATTATGAAACATTGATGCTCAACAATCCTTACCTTACCTTAATCCTCATCACTCCCTGTGGAGTATAGGGCAACAACAAATCTCCGCCATTCCACCCTGTCCTGGGCGAGCCACTTTAGTTCATGCCAGGTTTTGCCAGTAGCCTGTACTTCTTCTTCCATCTCCCTCCTCCATGTTCCCAGTGGTCTTCCTCTACTTCTCTTTCCGGGTGGGTTCCACTTCAGCGCCATGTTGGGGAGTCTTTTTTTGCTCATGCGTAGGACATGGCCCAGCCATCTCCATCTCCTCGTTCTAACTTCTGAGACAATGTCGTTTAATCCTGTCCTTCGCCATATTTCCTTGTTCGGGACTTTGTCGTCCCACTTTATCCTGAGGATGCGTTGGAGGGATCTTCTTTCAAAGCCTCTGAGTCGGCTGTCTACTTTCTTGTTTAGTTTCCATGACTCTGCAGCATAGAGGAGTACAGAACGTACATTAGACTTATAGATCCTTATTTTAGTTCTCTGCTGCAGTGAGGATGATTTCCAGATCTTAGCGAGTCTGTTAAAAGCTTGTGCTGCCATTGCTATTCTGGTGGCAATTTCTTTCTCCATGCTGCCATTTGCTGATATATAGCTGCCGAGGTACTTAAAGTCTTCGACCTCTTCTAGCTCTGCTCCATTCGCAAAGGTCTTGAGAGCACTTTTGGTTTTTATTTTCATTAGCTTGGTTTTTCCGGAGTTTATCTTTAGCCCAACGCTTTTGGCAATTTGCTCTATTCTTGTGGTTTTCGCTTGGATGTCTTTTTGGGCATGTGAAAGTAAAGCCAAGTCATCAGCAAAGTCACAGTCCTCTAGGTGGTTGGTAAGTTCCCAAACAATTCCTCTTGGCTTATCCTCAGTGGCTCTTCTCATAATCCAGTCTATTACCACCAAAAAGATGACAGGTGAGATGACACAGCCCTGTCTGACTCCTGTTTTTACCTTGAACCATTCACTTTGCTGATTTTCGTGTCGCACACAGCATTGGTTATCATAGTACATGTCCTTAAGTATGTTTATGACTTTTCCTGGAAAGCCATATAGCTCTAATATCTTCCATAATGATGGATGGTGGATGCTATCAAATGCTTTCTCGAAATCTATGTAGTTGATGTAGAGAGACGAATTCCACTCCAGAGACTGTTCCACTATAGTGCGCAAGACAAATATTTGGTCATTACATGACCTGTTGGCCCTGAAGCCAGCTTGTTCTTCACGAAGGATCCCATCAATTCCTTTCCTCATTCTTTGTAATAGGACTCTGCAGAAGACTTTCCCTGGTACTGACAGAAGATTAATGCCTCTCCAGTTCTCACAAACATTAAGGTCGCCCTTTTTGGGTAATTTGATAATGATTCCCCGTTTCCAAGAATCTGGGACTTTTTCTTCATTCCATACTTTGTTGTAGATCCCTAATAGAGTTTCTGCACCTATTTTTGGGTCTGCCTTTAGCATCTCCGCAGTGATTCTGTCCTCTCCTGGAGCCCTATTGCTTTTTGTTTTTTGGATAGCTTCTATTATTTCTTGTTCTAGGATGGGTCCTCTATACATTTCAAAATGTATGTTCATGTCAGTGAAGTCAGCAGTTTCTTCTGGGTCTGGTCTGTTTAGGGTCTCTTCGAAGTATTCAGCCCATCTTTTCAATTGATGTTTCTCCGTTGTAAGAACTTTCCCGTTTTTGTCCTTGATAGTAGATGAAGGACAACAATTACCACACTAATATGGGACACTAAGTCAGACATCGCAAATTAAATCTTCGCGGTGAATCGTTGAAATTGAAAAAAAGTACGCTTTATTTTTGGAAATTTTAACTCTAGAAATGATCAGTGTACACAGAGCAGTAGTATATTAGGTCACTTTTGGAGCGTATTCCTGGCGGAGGAGCGCAGGCGCAGGCGCAAAGGTTATATAGTAAAATACTCGGGAGGAGCGGATGTGGAAGGCGCAGCCTGGTACAATGACATATAGCAAAATACTCCCAGCCTGGCGCATCGGGATGTGGAGGAGCGGATGCGGAAGGCGCAAAGACATATAGTAAAATACTACGCCAACTGGGGTTGGCGGAGGAGTGAAGGGTGAGTCACCTTTTGGTGACCTTGTGACGTAATCATTGACCTTGTGACGTAATTAGTGACCTTGTGACGTAATCACTGACCTAGTTACGTAATTTTAATGCGTTTTTAATGAGTTTTAATGAGTTTTTAAAATTTTAATTAATTTTTGACCTAGTTACGTAATTTTAATGAGTTTTTATTACGTAATTTGAATATTTGTTTGATTTAAATTGTTTAATTACTTTGTTTATATTGTGTAATTTTTATTAACGAGTTACGTAATTTGATTATTTGTTTACTTTTTAATTATTTTTATTTTGTTTATTTTTAATTTTATTTTATTTTATAATTAGTTAAATTATTATTAACTAGTTACGTAATTTGATTTTAATTACTTTTGTTTATTTATTTATTTGA